ATTCAATTTTGTTTCAAGAAACTATAAAGTATCACTTTCGTAATTCACTTTGATATAATACATAAGGTTGCCTATTAAAGTACGAATAAAAAATGTACACAAACTTACGTATAATTCTGCCATCAAGTAGCGTTAGAAGTAATACTTACGCGCACACCGAAGCTGAAATTCAAATTCGTTCGACCTTCGTGAAACTGAAGAATAAATAAATATTTGAAGGACTATGAAGCGGAGGTAGGAAGAAGTTCCACTGAGACAATTTTAATTTTATTTATTAATATACATTCTTTATTCCATATTCATTTATTTTATTTCTACAAGAATTAAAGAACTTCAGACGTTCTCGTAAATAATTTATTTTCCAGGCATTTCATTACATATTACATTTTAATATACATTTATTACATATGTATATTTTAATACACACTTAAATTTAATATACCTACATAATTATATTTCAATAAATATTATTGTTGCTACTTACAAATGAAATTGATCTAAGAAGCCACGATGGCTCTACGTTTAACAATAAAAATAATATTTCCAAATAACATATTAAGCGCAACGATTCCAATATTACTAATTGTAGTTTTGAATTACTATATTTGTTCAACATTTTTTAGCTATGGGTGATTATCTGAATATTACAGTACTGCGAGGACGAGGAAATAACAAATGCCCATCTAACGTATGACAGTGGTTTGCTCGTTCCTGTTACAACGTGCGGCACTGTTACAATTATTTCATATTTTTCCTAAGTAGTAGCTAGTTCACGCCTGCTGAAACATGCCCCGCTGCTTAATTAAATCGATGGCGAGGTACAGAAAGACTGACGACTCTTCAGAAGGTAAGATACATTCGTCTTTCGCTTTGCACAGTGAATAATGGCCACGGACGGTAGTGAAATGGTTATATGGGGAACAAAGTATTACGTAATAAGTAATGCACAGCTCCATCCACCATTATTGGATCGCATTTTCTCCTTGAATCTTACGTTCACTTACAGTCAGAATCAGATCATTAAATTCAATTTCTCTAATTCGAATTCCTTAATTAATAAGTTATATAGAATAATAATTAATATCAAGAATTAAAATTCAATCAATTCGACTTTCTTCCAATTATTTTAATTCTTAATCGATGGATTGTTTCATTTTTAAAATAAAATTTGTATCAATTTTAAAAAATTAGATTAAGTCCTTTAAGTATTATAATATGCATTTTACTGTTCCTAATTTTTTATGTCTTTTTATATATCTAATTTTCTAATAAATTCTATTGCCTATTAAATCTTATATATTCTCTTATAAATGCATAACTGCCAATTGCTGTTCAATTAAATTAAATATATTTATTTTTCAATTGCAACCCAGTTTGTAGTCATATGTTCGTTGATAAATACATAATCTATCATTCAAGAAAGGAGAAAATGATTTCTCACTTTATTAACAGAGACTGAACTGCCATGGATGCCTCCCTCTTCCTCACTGGACACGAAGAAGAAGCACCAAACCAACAACAGTTCAACTAAATGCAATAACATCTGGACCTCGTCGAAGCTTCCAATTGTAACACGATATGCATTTAACAAAGAGAACAACATGTTATGGAAGAATGAATTGGGTAACGGAGAATTGTACATGAATTTCTGTGATATCGAAAATGCATCCGGCAGCAGCGTCCCTGCTCCTGCTAATCAAACAATCACGATGGACTCTGCTAACGCAGATCAACCGATAGAAAAGATACAGATATCCTTACCAAAGAAAGTAGATTATGTCAATATGGAGAACGACGAGATTAAAGTAGCTGTGAATCTAAGCAGAACGTTCGACGAGAATCAAACGACTTCTCTTTATCTCCCTAATCCGACCAAGAAACAGACCGACACGCAGGATCAATTTATAGATGGGAATATTAAAACTGGGACGGATAATGGGCAGAATTGGAAACGGAATAAGACTATGCATTATTGTCCTTATTGCCGTAAGAGTTTCGATCGTCCCTGGGTGCTGAAGGGACATTTACGTCTTCATACCGGCGAACGACCGTTCGAATGTCCGGTCTGCCATAAATCATTCGCTGATCGGTATATATCTTCTTACTATTTTCAATTTAATGTTTAATTTCGAGATATTAGAAGTAGATTATGAATTTTTAGGCAGGATAAAATATTTATACACTTCCCTGAAAAAGAGTTGTATAAAATACAACCGAGCCTTCCAATTCCCTTCTTTAAATATTTTATGCGATTCGTAGATTATTGCATTTTTTATATTGTTTGAATTGCTTATATTGTTGAGAATGTATCCTATTTTCCAGATCGAATTTGCGTGCGCATCAAAGGACACGGAACCACCATCAGTGGCAGTGGCGTTGCGGCGAATGTTTCAAGGCATTCTCGCAGAGGCGATATCTGGAACGCCACTGCCCTGAGGCTTGCAGGAAATACAGGATATCTCAAAGAAGAGAGCAGAACTGTAGTTAAGAGATATATTTTATTTCCTTCATCTGTAAACATGCATATTTGTATGCAGAAATGTGTAATGTAATATATAATTGTATCTCGTTCAATTGGCAATGTATAGTTTTTATTTCATTGATTAATATCTTTGCTTCAATATAAAAATACATATGCTGTATGCAACACATGTTTTCACGAAATCCTATCCTCCAAATTAAGAAGTAAATCCTGCCTGGAATTGTTATTTCGATAGCTAATCTAATTTTTATGATAGATTGAATTTTACGATCTTATTTTACCTTTCTATCGAGTTTACATTTTATATTTTATATGTCTTATGATTTTAATTACGATTTGAGATATTAAATGTACTACTGATTTTTGGTAAAGGGAAGCACAGCAATCTTACTGTAATCATCCGACTTGAAATTAGTATTCATGGCTTGTTTGAGAATCGGCAGGCCCAAAGAGTACTTCCTTCGAGGATTCTTTATTACCTAAGAGGATTATCCTTCGGGCCTATTGATTCTAGCACAGGCCCTCATACTTCTACTCATTTGTTTGCTTCGTACTACCTTTCCTATTCTTTTGTCCCACTTCTCTATATAAATTCGTTATCCTCTTCATTTTAAACACGTTTATTTTGTGAATAAAGCGATCTTATCCGGATATCTCTGCCATTACTTAAATCCTCCATAAATTAATATTTTATGATTTTATTTAAAATAATAAGCTTCTATAGATAATTGTACGAGTAGAAATCTTTTATTGCCACAGGTATGAAGAGTAAATCGCGGAAACGTTGGAGGTGCCGGGTAAGTGCGACAGTACACTAGAGAGAGAAGGTTTCAAATAATGTTTCTGCTATCCTCATCTACTTGGGCATGCGTGCGCTGAGTGTTGCTCTATTACAAATTCCGCGGCTTAGAAAAAGAGATTCCTCTTCTCTTTTTTCCTCTTAATTTACGTACATAGAAGTACATAGGCTATTGTAGTTGTTATCTCTAATTATTGTTGAAAGAGTGGGGAATCAACTGTGCCGTCGGCCTTTGTTAAAGGGAATCGTTTGAAGACGCGCCTTGAGGCTCGCTTGCCACCTGAACGTTAGAGTGTGCGCGCATCACTCCGGCCCCTAGCGGACCAATCTGGGCGCATTTACTCCTTCATGGCGCACGTCGTGTACGTTCAACGAGGAATAATTATCGCTCGCATTTGACGCAGTGCGTTAGTCTGATATTACAAACGGAAAAGGACGTAATATAGTGCCGCGTGCATACGCGATACGCTTCCCCGAGCAAGTAAATCCGTGGTTTCTAGTGCTCCGTAACAAAGAACGCGGCTATCAGAGACACTGCTAAGAAAACTTGACATTGGAACGGCCATTTTGGCGTGTTGTTTCCTAATCGAGTGCTCAGCTCGGCATCGATATCCATCCATTTCAAGGTAAGTACCTGGCGTAATTGTTCAGACTTTGTTCAATAAATAATTATGCGTGCGAGGTGATTGCGGTTTTCATTTCCCTGCGTGGGTTTCGTTCGGATTAGTCTCGGTGCGATTTGCATGGACGAATAATCGACTTCGCGCAGATGGTTCCTCTCTGTTTTCCCGTCCCGTTCACTACTATGTCTATCCCGGTTAAACTCGACCTTATTATTTCAAAATTTATTGCATGAACTGTATTTAAGAATTACACCACATTTTTTAGTTGTGTACATGTTTGATTGGTATTTGAAATTGTTAATAATATTTGAATTGGTAGAATTTTACCACGTATGTGATACAGTTGGTAGGATAGACTGCGGATTTTATGATGAAATTTAATCCAGAAAAAATATAAACACTACGGATAAAAATTTATAAAACATCAAAGTGCAAAATGCAAAATCGTTTAAAAGATGAAACGAAATTTCTGTTTGAAAAACATTTTTTAAGTAGGTTAAAAATCTGCAGTCTAATTAACTCGTCACCATTTCATAAATGATATATTTTGCAAACTGCTATTATTTTTTGGTTTACAGTTAAATAAAAATTGTGATTTGCTACTATAGCAAGGAATTTCGAATAAATAACTCCCTAATATCGTTTAGAAATTGAATATCGAATAAATTTATGGTAGATATTAGTGAAATTAATCTGTGACAAAGAGATTGTTTGAGAATTCGAATTTCTTACGAACGGTTAACAGGCGATGAGGTAGGAATTTGTATAAAAACTAGTATGATTCTAGTGAGGACCTACTGTGTTTATGTCCTATTGCGATCGAATAGGTCACACGTAATAATAACTTTTTGCCCTAGCACAGTTTAAACTGTTCCTTTTGTACCTTGTACACTTCCAATTTCTTACGATCAGTTAATATAAATTGGTTTAATATAAATGAGTTCAATCAGGCTGAGTTACAATTTAAGAAAATTGGTTGGAAAATTAATTATTCACAAAATTATTAAAAGGCTATAAAATATTTTAGACTAATTGATAGAATTTAGCAACGTGCATCAAATTTTCCTTTATATAGAATAGATTATATTTCATCGTTTTATATCAATTAATACTGCTCGGAATCAGACAGAATTCCAATTATAATGAAATAACTGAATTATTAGTAGAATATCAAATATTTTAAGATAATCGATGGAATTTCATTTATTTTATTATATGAAAATACTTCATCATTCCCAAATTACTTAATACTATTCCAATATAAATGATTTGAATCAGACAATTCCAATTATATTATGAAAATTCTTAGTAGACCTCGAAATATGTTAGATCGATAAAATTGAGGAACATGGATCTATTCCTTGTTGCAGAAAACAGATAATATTTCATCATCTGCAAATAACTTGATACTTCTCTAATATAAATGATTCCAATCAGCCAGAATTCCAGTTATAATAAAATAACAAAATTCTTAATAGACTTGAAAATACGTTAGATCAACAGAATTGAGGAATATGGATTTATTCCTTGTTGCAGGAAATAGATAATATTTCATCATTTTCAAAATGATGACAGAACACATAAACTCCAACCATGTCCTGAACTCTGGTTTGAATTCCAAATCAGATATAGACAAAATGGATGATGTTGGTTGGAAAGCGAAATTAAAAATTCCACCAAAGGACAAACGTGTGAAAACTAGTGTAAGTCATTTGATTTCCTTAAATCCATTGATTCAAATCTTCAATAAGAATATCGAAAGTATTTTAATTGAATATCTTCGGGAATCTTTAGGATGTCACTGATACGCGTGGCAACGAGTTCGAGGAGTTTTGCTTGAAGCGCGAATTGTTGATGGGCATCTTTGAGAAGGGCTGGGAGAAGCCATCCCCGATCCAAGAGGCCAGCATTCCCATTGCACTGTCTGGTAAAGATATCCTGGCCCGCGCAAAGAATGGCACCGGGAAAACTGGGGCCTACTCAATCCCAGTGCTAGAACAAGTAAATAAAAAATTTTCCTTCTCAAGCTAAAATTTAAACTTATCAAAGTACTGTGCACATCGAATCACGAGATTATGTTAATATGTTTCAGGTCGATCCACGAAAAGATGTGATCCAGGCACTGGTCATTGTACCCACCAGAGAGTTGGCTCTCCAGACATCGCAGATTTGCATCGAACTGGCAAAACACATGGACATTAAAGTAATGGTGACTACCGGAGGGACCGACTTGCGGGATGATATTATGAGGATTTACCAGAAAGGTGAACATTTAAAACAGTTCATTTATATAAGAATAAGAATTGAGCATTTAAAAATAGTTTACTCATGACGCAATTCGGTTTTCAGTGCAAGTAATAATAGCAACGCCAGGAAGGATTCTTGATCTCATGGACAAGAATGTTGCTCAGATGGATCATTGTAAAATTCTAGTTTTGGATGAAGCGGACAAACTCTTGTCGCAAGATTTTAAAGGAATGTTGGATCACGTCATTTCGAGGTAAGACTCGGTTTTTCTTAAATCTTTTCTAAATCTTAGTAAATGCCCGAACAGTATATTGTCTGGAATTCGTGAAATTGTCTAACATATTCCTCTGTTTTTTTGTTAAATTTAGATTACCGCACTCACGTCAGATATTGCTTTACTCGGCAACGTTCCCGCTGACAGTGAAGCAGTTCATGGAGAAACACTTGAGAGATCCATACGAGATTAATTTAATGGAGGAGCTTACGTTGAAAGGCGTGACGCAATACTACGCCTTCGTACAGGAACGACAGAAAGTCCATTGTCTCAACACACTGTTCTCCAAGGTAAGATTTCGTTGGAGAACATCTTTGTTCTCGGGAAAATTGAGATTTAGTTTTTATAAGAATTGGGAGAATGTATATAGAGTCGATTATAAGATTTCGGGTTTGAATTTCGATTCAACATGGTCAATCGACCGACTATTTTACTTTTATAAAAGTTAGGAATGGGATTCGCCCTCGCGCCGTTCAATTGTAGTTTTATTGATTTAATTCAGAATTATTTGACCGAGAAATTTACCAAAGGCATAAGCTAAGCTAGCTAAGCTAGAGGGACTCAGGAGTCTGATATTTACTGATTTAAAGAATATGGAGAATTAGAGTCATCGAATGAAAGGATCCGGGTTTGATTTCCCGTCCAACCCGATCAAATGATTTTTTTTTACTAAGAAGCTAATATTCCGTTTTTTTGTTTGTTCCAGTTGCAAATAACACAAAGTATAATATTCTGCAATTCGACACAACGTGTCGAATTACTCGCGAAAAAGATAACAGACCTAGGTTACTGCTGTTATTACATACACGCGAAAATGGCGCAGGCACACCGAAATCGCGTGTTCCACGATTTCCGAGCAGGACTTTGCAGAAACTTGGTGAGTACATTTTCTTCTTTATATTCTCACTTTAGAGAATCGTAGATTTTTTTAATTCTCACATTGATGATTAAGGATTAAATTTTCATTGCGTTTATACAATTATTGATTTGAATTATAACTCCAAATTGAAAATCGAAATTTAGTTTCGTATTCCGGATTCATCAAAATGGACGAAGAATATAATTTCATTGTTATAAAACCAATTCCCTGACAAACAAATTCCCTGACAAACAAATTCCCTTTCGCGTTTCAGGTGAGCAGTGACCTGTTCACGCGCGGTATCGACGTCCAGGCCGTGAACGTCGTGATCAACTTCGACTTTCCAAAAATGGCTGAAACCTACCTGCACCGCATCGGACGGTCGGGACGGTTCGGTCACCTAGGCATAGCGATCAACCTAATCACGTACGAGGACCGTTTCAACCTGCACCGCATCGAGCAGGAGCTTGGCACGGAGATCAAACCCATCCCAAAGGTAATAGATCCAAGTTTGTACGTAGCGCGGCCCGAAGACAATAACAGTATGGAAGAGGGCAACGTGTCCAAGTAGTTCCGATGCTTAAACGACGTTTTACACGCGCTCAAAGAGTTAACAAGTGTAAAATGGTGATCCGTGTGGCTCGTACACGTCTATGGCATATGTACATTTTTCGATATGCTTCGAAACTAACCGCAGAGTGAAACGATTACACGTTCTCGCTCTCATCGGGGGAAAAGTATTGTCCGGGTGTGTTTAAAAAACAAAACAAAACAGTGTATAAAGACGAAACAGTGCTATGGACATTTAGATAAAAACAAAAAAGTGGTCTATATAGAGAAAACAAAAAAATGTTGAAAATTTCAATTCATAGTAAATGCAGCGGATATTGAAAAAAAAAATGAATTTACTTGTAAATAAGGCATGGCTGAGGCATTGAGACGTGCTCAGTGCGATGGTGAACTGATGCGGCATGCCGGGTGCGAGTCATTTCTTTGTACATAGATACATGTAAATGTACATAATCTAAAGCGCGCGCGTCAGAGTCAAGCCATTATCAACCCAAGCACAACAGCATAATTAACATTTAATCATTGCATTTTACCGCAGACTGTAAATATCACACGAGAGTATCGATCGTTTTAATAGATAAAATTTTTATACGACGGGCTTCATACTTCCAACGTATTTCCGTTAAAACCCAATGGGATACGCGATTCGAAAAGTAACAAAAAAAAAGAGAGACGATAAAAGCAACTTGGATTCGCTGTTTTTTTGTAAATAAATCCCATTGATTTCGCAGCACGTGTGTAAATTCTCCTTGAATACCGCAGATTCGAATTATCGTATTCTTACAACCGTTTTGATCATGGCTTGATTTTGCTACCCTGTCAATGCTATCATACAACTCTGAGATTCAAATCACTTTTCACCGGAAAAAAAAGAGGAAACGCAAGATTATTTTTTCTTTCTACAAAGCAACAAGACTTTCTTTTCTTTTTTTAACTTAATCTGATATATTTTTTTTTACGAAATCGTGATTGAACGTCAGAGATTGTAAAATTGACTAGTTTTATATAATTATTTTTTATAAATAACTGGCTGGTGGCATTTGTCGAATTCCGGGATTCGGTGGGTGGCTTCTATTCGAATATTCACGTCTCCGTTCGTCAAACAGCGATTAATTTTCGACAGGACTTGTGATCCCCTCGACAGAATTTAGATGAAAAAAAAAATACAGTACGAAACGTGTATATAGCATAATAATTTTTCACGACTGCCAAAAAGAGAAATAATAGAGCGTCATTGAATCCCGTTTTTATCCCAGATTTTTCTCTATTTGATACATTTGTTGGTCGTGCGAATGAAAAAGGTTTAGGAGCCCCGATTTTCCATCAAATTTTTATTGTCGCAAATATTTCATTTGAGAGGAAGTGCACCACCAGCCAAGACGACCTAGGTTTATGGAACGAAATGCGTATACATTAATAGGCAATAGTAGAGTACTTCATATTTGAGGCAAACAAAATTCGATGAGGGAGTAGAAAAAAAATATGAAGCTGAACGGTTTCGAACGCGTTCAGGACAGTAATATCGGTTCTGACATTCGCGAATACCACAGGAGAAAAAAATGTGACTGCTCGGATAGAATGGAAATATCGCAGATTTTATAAAAGACGAGGAGACGTTCGGACGTCGTATAAGTCGTGCAATTAAGCTCGGAAACATTCTTTGACTCTTCGTTCGCTATTGCTTATCAATGACATGTTTAAATAGCACGAGGCTGACTTGTACATCAGAAGATTCCATCCTCTTTCCACGAGACAACCGGTAACAGATCAATTCTATTCTCGAGAAAAATTGACGTAAAAACTCTCACAATTAAGTACTGTGATTTAGATTACACTGGACCGCGTTGGGAACCGTTCCTCGATTGAATATATAATTTGATACATAACGACGTTTCGATATTGGAAAACACACACACATGGTCACTCGCTCATTCGCTCGCAAATTTTACACATCCAGTGTGGAAAAAAAAATGGCATTATCAATCGACTTACATTATTTTTGCCAGTACGAGGAGCAATGTGATTTTTGCAAATCGATCGTAAAACCGTTGTTACAAGCAATCAGATCATAAATGCTTGGAACAATCGGGATAAATCAATCAAGGGAAATCCTTTCTACGTTCGGATTAAATCCCAACGTCGGAAGAATGATTATTAGAAATTGGCGATGAATCTTGAACAAAATAATTATAATAAGCATCGTATTTATAACGATTTAGGGGAAGACACTTGCACAGTGTTTTTTCATTGCGGCTCTATCTTTTTACCAATTAATACGTTTCCTTTTCTCGTACGCGATGACGCTCCGGGTACGAAAGGACTTTTTGAATTTTCCCTCGAGTGAAATCGCGTACGAACTTCGTTCTGTAATATTGTAACCACTTTTCTTTCTGTACCTTATAATTTTTCCATCGCAACACGTAATTCAGTAAGGAACAGTATTCCGGGCTCGAAGTGATTACCGGTCTACGATTAAATTTTCCTCTTGTTTTGGTGGGGAGTTCGTTTGTCTTTGGCGAAGTCTTACTGAATTATAATTCGAAGCACCATTAGATCCGGCCCACTCCGGAATCTATTTTGCGAACTATATTTTAATAATCGATCTTTAAAAGAGTCAAGAGCGCGAAATACATTCTATTATTTTGCTGTTATTAGGTCCGTTTTCGAGACACTAGAGAACGAGCTTAATAACAGTGAATTCTAATTACTTTTTGGGAGGCATTCGTTCGTAGAGAAACGCGACTAATTTTTAATCTTGGCTCTTTTTGAAGAATACGTGTGAAATCTCTAGTAGAGGGTGATAAAATACGTACAGACCGAAGGGATTCCATAACGAAAGCTTCTCCATTTTCTACATGGAATCGAGTCATCTTAAAGCGGAATTTACGTTTCTCTTTGCCAACGTCCCCTTAGGTCTGTCGTGTTTCCAAGTGAAATCTTGGATAAGTATCAGTTTTGGTATGGATGCACCTTTGTAATATGAAAGTGCTGGGAGTGTTAACATCTTGGATCTGTGGTACGTGCATAGGCCCTTTTGGTCATCGAGGAAAGGGCCGACAAATATTAAACGAACGATTCGTATACGGTGACGAATTATTACGAATCGATTCGTATATGGTGAAGGAATAACATCTTTCGAGGCTGCCTTCGGGATCTTAGGTTCATCGAAGTCAGCCTCGACGCCTCCACCTTTGCATTGGGTCCTGATCCAATGCCCGACGAGCTGCGTACTATGAAAAACGCCAATAACAATAGCTAAATGAATTCGGTCTCAAATAACTATAAAAATGTCGAACGGTTTTGTAGTCCGGACAGCTCGTTCTTCACATTGGAGCAAGATCTCCAATAATTCGTAAAAAAATATTAAAAAAAAATACAAAAAAAAAATGAATGATTGAAACAGAGGAAAGTATTGTCACAAATACGTGACAATTCATCGTAATTTACCACGAAATTTTATTTTATGTTTATACAATAGCGATCGGAAATCTTTGAACATTGTTTAATTGCGAATGAATACATTTTCCAAAATTCTACTGTTTCTGTATGAACAATCTGCTCGATTGTTTGCGACATTTGTTTATCTTTTGACAAAAGAAGAGAAATGTTCGAAAAATACTCTTGTGAATGCAGCTCGCACAATACCACGGACTTGTTTTTAATCCCCATTCGGACTTTCCTTTTTTTCTAAATATCTCCGAGAAGCAATAAGAGTTAACACGTTGTAAAACATCCATGTGGTATTGTCCGGTCTGCACACAATTAAAAGACAAAAAAAAAAATTAAAAAAAAGGGAGGAGGAGAAGAAGAGGAAGAAGATGGTATGATCTCTGGATGATCGTATATGTTGATCGAATGTTTTTTTGTATGAGAAATTTTGTATCAATAATTTGGAACCCCTCGTCTGTGTTGTCTAACGTTCAATTTAACTTGAAAATTCACGTGCGAGAAACAAAAGGTAAGAAGAAGAAGAAGAAGAAGAGGAAGAAGAGGAAGAAGAAGATAGAATTATTTGTAATTTCAGGAACGTGAAAATTGTTTATTTCTCAGTTTGTGTCGGCGTTATAAAAGAAACCTTTTTTTTATTTGTTTTCCCAAAGCACAGACCCTTATTGAAAAAAGAGACAGAATAATAATGAAATCGAAGAACCGATGTCAATTTGTTTTCGAAAGGAACAAAACAGTAAAATTTGATTCTTAATAAAAATTTCCGGTTCAGTGTATCGCATTCAATTTATCCTGAGGGCCTCCGTAGGGGACTGGTACGAGTTTCGACTTCCCCATTAAACCACGACTTTCGCCGAGTATAAAACAGTTCCATCGCATCGTAACAAAAATCGTCGTACTTCTTTTCTCCACTGAGCAAGCCTCATTTGAGGTGAGAAATAATTATACAAATTTGATATAAGTGAACCTAAAGCCAGAAGACGATCTCGTGTTGTAATTATGTGCGGCTTAACCGGACGATTTGTCCGAAGTTCAGAAATATTGTAGCTTAAGCGGATTACGAAAAGCTGGTTCGAATTAATCGTTTGCGCATTACATTTATCGTTCATATTAATTTTATCAGTTTCTTCACCTGGCGAGAATACGTAAACACGAATTGTTTAATAATCCTTTTCTTAGGTACCTCGCTAGATTGGATAGGGTAGTTTTGAAATTACAGGTACAGTTATTTAATTTCTATTTTTCACAAGCTGCATTTAACAGTATGCAAAATTTTGACAAAATCCTACGTTTGCCCTTTATAAATATTTACTAGACTTCGGATTTTTATGCAATAAAACGTGTATGACGTTTATTTAAAAAAATGCATTTAATCCTTTGAAAATAGTGATGTGTATTATTTTGATTTACTGCACATTTTTCCACGTTACTTTACTAAATGCATAAAATCCGCAGGATAGTAATTATTGAACTTCGATTTTTCTGAATTATCCCTTTACTCGGCTTTGTCCGATGCCTTTTTATCCTGTTACGTATCTTCCAATCGAGCCAAGGTGGAAAAATAGGTGCGGGGAATATGATTCCCGGACAGAGACGACAAATATTGAAACGATCGAATACAATCCCAGCGTTGTAATTACATTCATCTATCCGTATCGTAATCGAGAATCTCAGTTACTGATGATCGACACGATTGTGTTGCCAATTGTACACAAACGTGCGATTCACCGGTTTGCTCGCGAAAGCGTAATATGCAGTGGATCAGGAAATTATTCGAACTGATTTTAAAATGAAATCAACTTTTTTCGAGCCGCTGTACGAGTCGGAAGTCGAAAATGTAAAACAGTGAATCCGTTCTGTAAATCAGGCGTCCGGAGCGAAGTCTATTTTTATTCGTGATTAGAACAATATATTGCGGATTCCATGTACAAAAAGAATTTGTTTAACTTCGCAAAGTGTAGAAAACTTTTTTTTCCAAGTTCTGACCTTTATGTGGCCATACGAATTTTCTATTTATTCATATTTTTATTAAATGATACAAGTGGGCGTGTGTAGGCGAACTCGGCGCATTGAATTGCGCGGCCCACGTTGCACAGGTAAGACAGTTCCTCTAAAACGCGATCGGAAAAGAGAGAACATCCGGAACTGAGCGAGCGTAACGAGGTTCGAAGGCCGCTTATCTGCGGATGACTGACGCAAATTCCGAGAACATCGAACGATATTATCGAAGCGCCCTTTGAGGGTTCCACATCCATTAAGGGTGCATTACGCGTGAGCGTACGACCGGCACGTGCGACCCGTCGCCGTCGTCGTCGTTCATCGCCGCCCCGTACGATCAATTAACACTAAAAGGTCCTTTAGGGAAAATTCGCCGCCGGCTACGACAGTGTACGTACAGTGTCTGCCGCGACCTTCATCATCCTCCCTGTCGCAATGCCACCTTTACTCTCGGCCGTAGGCAGATTTAACATCCCCTCACTCCCACCAGCAAGCGAACCTAGCCTTTCTGCTGAGAGGAATACCTCCATTTTCCGTATAATTTCCACGAGAGATGATAGAAAGAGAAGGAGACGTCTGGAGGGAACGGCAGGGGGCAGATAGACGAAGACGTGCACGAGGAAGCACGCGCGGATTTATCGAGGAACGTAGAGATCGTCCTAGAAGGAGGAAAGAATGGTGGAAAAGCGACTTCCCCTGTGAAAATCGTCTACGAACCCGATATCGTAACCGTCGACGTCGCTGTCCTTTCTTTTTCTGTATCGAGACTGCACACCCTGTGTCTTCCCTCTCGTGCCACTACAGCCGTAATCTGGCAGTGCATTTAACCACTTTGTGAAATAGCCGTATATCTCGCCACTGTGACGTAGCATTCGATACGTCGGACACGGGTGGACGGAGGCGGCTGTGTAAGCAGGAGAAAGCGAACTGCGAGAAAAGGGGAGAGGCGGGGAGGTGGGAGAGAACGAGAGAGACGAACCATGCCAGGGGGTTAAATACACGGGGTGTCTCGAGGAACAAGGAAGAGTATGATTGATTCGTTACACCTATGTGCCTGGAATTTTCAACGATTTTTAAAATCTTCAAGAGCTGCATGCTACATCAAGTACTCAGAACCATACTATTCGTATCGAGATCCGCTCAACTATGACATAGTAAACTCTGCATGCGTACTCAGAGGAAATTCAGAGTCGATTTTCTCGAGAACCAAGCCTCAGTTCCATATTTTCGACTTCTTATGTGCGATCCACGGTTGTAATAGTGGGACACCCTGTATCTACTGGTAGATATGGAAAATCGTGCGCGCGCCAGCACGCCCTTGCGCCCCCGCTTTTAGGGGTGGAAAGCGCCGACTCGGAGGCGGGGTAGCTTGCATCCCCCCGATGGTAGGGAAACGATCCCTACCACGTCGTTCTAGCCGGTCGGGAAAGCGCACGAGCTGTCTGGAGCGGCGGGGGTGTCCGAGGGGTGATTTCACGTTTTACCAGGAGGCGAGGGGCGATGGGTCGAACGGCAGACACGAGAAGGACAGACGCTACGTAGGTCGTAGAGGGACGGAGGCGTAAAGAGCGCTGGGAATCACAGTAGTAGTGTGTATGTAAACCTCCCCCGTCGTATATAGTCTGTCCGGAGTGGAAGAAGGGTGCGCCCTACTTCGGCGTCGACGTTTTCCCTCCTGGCAGTGTGCAACGGCGCGGCGGCGTATCGGAAGAAGAACGGAGAAAGCGAGCCAGAGGCTGTCTCTACCGTTCGGCGCCGGGGTTTTCGCGGTGTCTCGCATTTCACGACGAGCATCCGCGCGACCGACGCTCCGAGTGTTTCGCGAGTGTTCGAATGTCGGATTTCGGTGGATTGAAACACGAGGAAAAGGAGAGGCGGGTGGAAGGCGGCGGGGTGGAGGAACGAAATCAGTGAAGATCGGTCCGGCAACGCCTCGGGTCATACATAGAGCGTCGAGTGCGAGGAACGAGGGTGAAACCCGTGGAGGATGGTGGTGGTCTAGTTTTCGGCAGTATTATATTCGGTGGCCGCGTGTCGTGCGCGTCGTTTCAACCCCCCAGTGCCGCGAGCTGCCATTACATGGGTCTTGTTATCGTTCTCGGCGCCAGTTTCTCTCGCGAGATGTTCACGCGTTGATCGACGCGTTTACGTAAGGACAACGGACCGCGCGACGGTGTATGCTCGCTCGTACGTGCTCGTATGTATCTCAATGTGCGCGCGCGCGCGTGACCAGCACCAAGAAACACGGGAAGGCCAGCCGCGGAAGGAGGCGGCGGCGGTTTTCGTCAATTCGCGAGTTCACCGAAAATAGCAGACCCAGCCAGCGACTACCTGCGAGTCTTTTCGTTGTCAGAGGAATCGGGAGGATTCACGAATGGATAGGCCGAGGTCGTTTAATCTGGACCCCCTCGTTTGCATAATTAGTGCACTGAAACAGAGAGAAGGGTTCGTGGAAACTTTATTACAAAGGCCGAACGTTCGATAGACGAGGTGACGAAGGATTGAATAATATTCAATGAAGAAAACGACGGGATTCCACGGGAGATGAAAATGCCCGCTGCTTATTGACGCGCTCCCATCGAGCAACACCGAATACCAACACTCGACAATAATAAACGCATCCGTCATGAAAATCTCCGCGTTCCTCCTCGTGATGACGTTGCTCAACATAGCGACCAGCGACAAGTGCGCCGACGAGTGTTCCTGCAAGTGGAAGAGCGGAAAGCGTACGGTGGAGTGCGTGAACCGCGGCCTGACCAGCATACCTGAGTGGGTCGATCCGGAGACGCAGGTGCTCGACACGAGCAGCAACGCGATCCGCATACTGCCGAGTAACATCTTTGTACGCGTACGCTTGACGAATCTGCAGCGTCTCTACCTACGCGAGTGCCGTATCGAGCGAATCGATAACGAGGCACTGGCGGGCCTTACGAACCTGGTGGAGCTCGATCTGAGCCACAATCTTCTAACCATGGTGCCCAGTGCCAGCTTCGTCGACACGCCGTTCCTCAGGGACCTCGTGCTCTCGAGCAACCCCCTCAAGAGGGTCCACTCGCACGCGTTCAAGAGCACGCCGAATCTGGTCAAGCTGGATATCTCTCACACGCAGCTGATCGAGATCGAGGAGAAAGGTTTCAAGGGGCTCGATCTCCTCGAGAGCTTGAAGTTGAACAACAACCAATTGTCCACCTTCCATCCGGGCACGTTCGATCCTCTGAACAAGCTCACGAGCATAGAGCTACATGACAACCCGTGGGTCTGCGACTGCCACTTGCGAGAGATGAAGATGTGGCTAGTGAAGCATAACCTGCCGACTCTGCAAGCGCCAATTTGCCACGGGCCGAAGCAGTTGCTGAATCGAACGTTCGCCGAGCTGGGCATCGACGACTTTGCTTGTCGGCCGATTCTTCTGATAGCCAGCCGCTACGCGGAGGCAACGATAGGCGAGAACGCGAGCATTGTATGTAGGGTGAGCTCGATACCGCCAGCGAACGTGAAGTGGTACTGGAATGGAAGATTGCTCACTAACCACTCGGCGTTCAGTAGCTATCAGAAGATTCTGATCTTTGAAGAAGGTCAGTTCCGGAAGAGAAGCACTTTGGTGCTGACCAACGCTCAAGAAGCAGACTCCAGCGAGTTCTACTGTGTCGCTGAGAACCGCGCCGGTAGCGTCGAGGCCAATTTTACTCTTCACGTGTCCCTAAGAACCGCTGGCATGTCGACCCTCGGTTCCGGTCAGATCGCCGGCATATCAGCCGCCCTGGTCGTTCTGATTCTCTTCATACTCTTAATTATCCTCGTGCTGTTCATCCGTTTACGAAGGATGCCGTTAAAGGACATGAAGTCAGCAGTGCCAGCGGAAGGAGCGTCCACCGACAGCACGGGTGGCAATAACGAGAACTCCTCCACGAGTATTGCTCGTAGAAAACATGAAGAGATCGAGACAACGTCGTTCGGCGTCGAGTCCAAGCCACCTCCTGTGTCCTTAAACTTGAGCTACGTCCAGCGACCTCAGCCAGGCCTGCAGCCACAAAACGAATACGGTTCCATCAGCCGCTTCGACGATCAAAACCAGCAGGCATCTATGATGGTCGCGCCTGGTGCTTGTTTCTCATCCACGACGTCGTTAATGCCGATCGACAATCCCGATTTGATCAGGGACACGCGTCGCGGCTCGGCGGAGGACATTACGCCGTATGGCGGCGCCGATTATGGTCGGATGGAGGTAGTAGACGACGCGAAGATCCTCTACTCAAGTTGCATGTGGGAAACTAGCGAAGAATGCAGAACATCGGTACCGGTAAACGCGTACACCTCGAAGGAAGCGTTAGCCGTGGTCGCGCCTATGGTCGAGCAGTTCCCGCCGGGTGCGAAACAGATCAGAGTCTGGCAGAAGGGTGTACCGGTACTGCCGCCGGTCTCGGCGTTGAAACGCGTCCTAGGATCGACGCGCAGCTCGCCTGACGAGGGTTATCAGGAAGGGACCGGGACCGATGTCTAGGTACCGCTGCTTCATTACTGCGACGCCCGGCACCGTTACCTGGAGCTCCGTAGACGCCATCAGGAAGACACCGACTGCTGAGAGAGAGAAAGCGAGGGAGAGAGACATATAGACGTCTGTCCTGTCCAGTGCCGGACGAGCGGTAGTGAAATGGAAAACGGTCGATTTACTCAGACAGAATATAAGTAATAACTTGAGCAAAAGTAACAATGGACTCTAGCCGCGGTTTAAAGCGGACGTCGACCCCCGTTCGCGTCTATACGCGCGCGTTAACACGGTAAACGTATATATGGAACGAGAAAGAGTGATCGATGAAACGGTTCGAGATGCATTCCGTATATATACACACACGTAGGAGGGGAAGTCGTTGCAGGCGACCTGCTGGAAACGTGCATACACCTCCTCGCGAGATTTACGTCGGCCCGTACATATGAAATAGTTGGAGGTGTCGCCGTGACTAATGCACCGAACGGACGAACGTGAGCCGGACGATACGTCGAGAATCCGCTCGTAGGGACAATAACGTCGATACCACTCGACGAATTTAATTACGATTACTTTTCGTTCTCCTGTTCTCGCGTGTGCGTGTGGCGTGTCTGTGTTCGTGATCGTTGCCCGACGATCGAGACCTGAGGACGGGGAGTTTCGTGGGTGATCAGCACAATATTGACGGGTAATACTTTCTATTAAGAACTATCAAGGGGCTGAAGCTTGAAACGGAGAGATGGAGAGCGGCTGGAGTGCGCATGCCAGAGTGAAAGAGGAAAAAATATGAAAGGGTATCACGTTTAAATGTTCTAAACGGTATATTCATATTAAATCGAGGAGACTGCATGTTCCAAAGGATGTGGAGATGAAAATAGAGTTAGAATTTCTATTGCTGTGTGTGTGTGTGTGTTGGGCTGTATTGAGGACACGTGTTTAGTCAATTTCCAGGATGAAAGGAATTATAATTGATTCGTTCGTATAGCAATTTGTCGATTGGAGTCGTTTTTAAATCAGAAATGCATTCACTCGTATGTTGCAGTTAAAGGGTTGATTTAGTAAATGGCTGGCAACCACAGTGGGGGCTTTCTTCGTAATTAGATCTACAGATTTTATGCATTTATAGGAAATGACGTGCAAGTACATATCGGATGACACTTTCAAATATCATTCGAACATATCGTACTATCTGATCATATCGTGTCATCCAAACCTGACTTATTAAAATCGTTACATTATTTATTACTTGTGTAATTTGATATGAACATCCTCGAACATTCATTTTGTTGGCAGTTCTACTACGTACATCGACAGTACGCGTATACATTTACCAAGTTGCACGCTTTGACTGTGACATCTACGGGAGATCGAGCGTCGAATCGATCGGTTAGACTCAGGATAACGAACGATACGCAGGACATACGAGAGAGAGAGAGAGAGAGAGAGAGCCGATATTGTCACATCGGATGGTTTTTGACGTCCGCGTTCGAGGACGAAAATTCACGGGGACGATAGACCGTGAAATATTACGTCGGATACGCTTCTGGACTCGCCGTCGCAATCCTCTTCACGGCTAAACGGATTTCCGTGCGCGTTAAGAACCGTTCTAAAATCGTTAGAATGATAAACCGCGTTTTCGAGGAATATTAAATCTGACGTACGAATAGCAGACACCGAGAAAATCCGAGTTAATTTTTTAAACCGAGGAGGAGAAGCGGCTGCGATTTCCAGACGTGTTTCCTTTCTTGTTATTTAATTTCAACTACTCCGGAGCCGATGGAATCAATTACATGAGACTGTATAGTAAGCACGGGTAGCCCGTGATCCAATCGCAAGCGAACACATACAATTGCTCAAGCTAAGAAAGACTAAAAAACGATCTGCGCTTGCCATTGGTTGACCGGCTCAAGCCTCGCGTTAGTGTCTTACGTAAGTGAGTCTGTGGCACGTTGATTGATACAAAAGACACTTGAGCGGACCGTAACACCGACTGCGAATTATATTCATCGGTTTTATCTGCACGTGTGTGCATGTGTCGCGTGTTCACGCGAGTGTTCGCCTATATCGGGAATCGTGTCTTGAGAGCCCCGTGCCTGGATATATACGTATGGGCGTGTGTGATACGATACGAGTGTATATGACTTTAACGTGCGACTGTGTTCCTGTTCCCTGTGTGTGACCCTCGTAGAAGGGGATGGAGTGGCTCGAGGGTGAGACAGTGTGCAGTGAGGCAGTGTACAGTGTCTGCAATTCCTACCGATTGGTTTATCTGTCATTCAGCCCGGCTGCTTTTCTTTGCTCAATGATCCCGGAAACGCGCGACAGCTTCGTGATTGATAAGGTAACAATAAGAGAGAAAATGAAGAAGAATGTACGGTTGCCTCGAGGCGCAGGAGGCCAAGGGTGCTTCTGAGCGATAGGTTTTGACCAGTTCGATTGTTTCATTTTATTTATTTATTAAGGGGGCTTTTTATAGAAGCGTTTTATATTTTTTATGAAAATCGCTTAAATTTTATTTATTTATTCAAGGGGCTAGAAGAACCTAGGAAGCGCCTTTTTATAAAAGCCTTCTATGTCCTTACTAAACATAATTTCTTACAATTGATATCCTGCAACTTTAATTTTGCATAGAATTCCTCAGACCTACTGAAACTAATGAGTAGGCCAAAAATCGCAGTACACGTAACTAACTATTTATGTTCCCTTCGTATACTAGATTTTCATGTCAAATATCTCATTTTCCATAAAATACTGTTAATCACTTTAGACAGCTTAATCTCTTAACGCCTTTCGTGCAAAAAAAGCTTACAACCTTGAGTTTACACACATATAATTATACTATTCTACTATATTTAGTTTGCTATTTTATATGCGACTCGCGTGCTTATCTACCAAGCCAGAAATGTTATAACTTAATCGGTTTTAATTGAAACCAACAGGAATTTTAAAAATATGTGATCCAATCGGAATTTATTTAAAAATGTTCATTTACGCTGGCGTTAATTCTGTTCCCATATTTCGCGCGGATCGATAATGCAAGCTGAAGAACGCGCGAGAGACGTTCTCCCAGTCATTTTATTTGAGGTTCCACCAGGTCTATTGGTTGTTTCCGAATCTCGATAATCGCGAAAAACGGGAACGCGTCCAATGAAATTCACGTTCCTTTCGCCAGTGATCGATTTTCGTGCCGCGTCAAATCGTAACACAAAACATTCGTTCATTCTTTCACCAACCGAAAATCGTCGAAGAAAACGGATGAATCACACCGCGGTTCTTCCGGCGAAAATGCACCGTTAATGTCGCACTCTGAATAATTTACGCCTGTCTCCTCGCTGCCGTTTACAGCGGGCCGGGAACGGGCGAGTTTAATGTTGAAATTTTGCGGTTACCTTGCTCCGGAATTGTTCGCTTCTCTGCTACGTCATTGTGTCCGCCTTAACTCTTTCTTTCCTCGAATTATTTCACGTTAAATGCTACGCCAGATATGACGAGAATAATTCCTATTTCATACTAGAAAGAGTGACGTCATTTGAAAGAACGATAATAACAATTTGGAAATCTGCTTATAGACACAGCAGTTTGATAAAATTAGAACAATTGCCAATTGATTTCTTATGACAATTAATGAAGATTCTTCTATCACGGTAATAATGATTGATCAAGCTCGTTCGCTGTTCACTAGTCATTCTCTCGTATAATCACATGAAAATTTACTAGTCAATGAATAAACCATTTCATTATGCTACGCCAGGTGTAACGCAAATAATTTCCATTTCATACTAGAATGCGTTGCCATAATTTAGATAAAATAATAATAAAAATCTGGAAATTGCTATTCATAGACACAGCGGTCTAGAGCGGTATAGGAGCTGGCAATTGATCTCGTGTATCGATCAATGAAGAATCTCCTACCATGGAGACTAGTAATGATTAAATATTGGTTACTCGTGGATATAGCAATCTGATAAAATTATAGAAACTGGCAATTGCCAGTTGAAGGAGATCAATTGATCTCCTATGTGATTAATGAAGATTCCCCTATCACATCGAGGCTAATAATGATTAATCAAGCTCGTTCGCCAGTCACCCCTTCAATATAATCATATGAAAATCTACTAGAGTCAATGAATAAACCATGCGAACGTTACAACGGCATCGATCAGGCCCCGTTCTGTTGCATTAATAAAACATATTCGAGATTTCCTAATTGCATATCGATGACAATTTCGCACGCGATCGGGAATCATAATACGCAGGTTGATTCCTCGTCTTTTATCGATCCCCGAGGCTTTCGTTTCCGAGCCCTCCACGTGCCGCGTTTGCGCGGAACCCGACGTTCGGGTTAATTAATCGTAAAATAACGAGCCGCGTAAGCCGGCGACGACGAATATAATGAACGGCCGAATTTAATAGATAGGCTGATTAATGGCCGGGTCAGGCGTGCCCGCAATATTTCCCAAAGTTGAAACACGGATCATGCGAAATGAGAATGACACGGTTCGCTAATTTCCACGTCAGGCTTTTTTCGCGGGCTAAAAAGTCAACGTCGAAACGCGTCACAATGTGTCCCAGTCTACGCGTATTCCGGTCCATATGACGCGAGACAATACCGTTTCTCTATTCATCATCTCCTTTCTCGCATATCGTAACGACGATATTCAATAGGCATTTTTGTCTTGCTTCTTTCCTTCTCAATGGAATTTTGCTTCGGTAGATCGAAATCGTAAAAACCGGGGTTAAAATATGCAGGGCTGAAAGACGGTTTCGCGAGAGAATACGTTCGGGACGTGGGTGAATGTCGTTCTTTCTCTGCTTATAGAAGTCTATAACACAACGCCAGCGTTTAATGAACATTTGTGAATACAAGTCTCCTCGTGTCATCCTGGCTGATGTCGTGATATTATTTGAAGCACACAAAGGCTCAGAAGTAAAAGCCTTGAGATTCTCTTCTATGATTAAGTCTCGTATTGAGTCTAATTCCACTTGATGAATCGAGTCTGAACAAAATCTTGAATATCCTAACCAGCGGGAGTTATATAGGTTCCTATTCTCCATTTTGAAGATATTTCTTGAACCTGTCTGTCGTAACCATGCTTCTATTTCTTCGTAATATCAGCTAATAGCACCTATAATCCTGACCCCATGACCATGCTAATAACTAATATCAATTTCTAAATTCTTTCAAAGAAACAATTCAGCGCATGACAAACGAGATTGCCGCGTGCAGTACAAAAATGTGACTCTAAATAAAAGGACGTTAAGCGTATTATTCGGACAAATGTAACATAGCTAGTGCAATACGTCTGAATAGCAGTACAGGAAACGCTTGTTGATTAAATTTATTGAATTTACGTTTCGGCCAAGTCGCCTGCGTCTGGTCTAGTCGTAGCCAAGGAATGAATAAAGCACATAAAGAGACGTCAGGCAATTAAGGTTGCCGCTATTGCAAACTGCTCGGTGTACACAGGATTTGCTTAATTACTTCACTTAATTACTTTGTATTGCTGTTCCAATGCCGGGGTGCCGGTATCCTCGCTTTTAAGGTACACGGCCAACGTCTTCACAAACAACGGCTAATGTACATAATGTAATATTATACGTTTGTATATAGAACCACCCCTCGCCGTCGCCTTCCGCTCAACATTAATTGTACGGCGCGACTGTCATAAGGAGTTCTGTTAAAACTTTTCGAATTTCGTTACGAATAACTAGACAGTTAGATTAATTACTTTCATGTAGGACTTACAAGAATTTTCATTTCCACTCGTGTTCTTAATTTACATCTTTCAAGAATTTGTTCCTTTAAAAACTGACGTCTGTCTTATTGTTCATCTTCTCGCTTCATGTGCAAAAATAATTTTGCATTGTCCTTCGCTTTGCGCTCTTCCTGGATGTATTTGTGGAGTCTTAGGCTAGCCAAAAATTAGTGTAGACCCAATCGTCTCTTTTGAGAATTTATAATCGCGAGGTCATCTTGTTTCACAGGCAAAAGTAATTTTGATGGTACTTTAATGTATTCTTTCTTTTCGTGTCTCAGACTGGTCAAAAATTAGTAACCAATAATTCGTTTAAGAATTGACAATGAGGAACCATTGAGCAATTGGGAAAAAGCTGAGCGTGATTTACTTAGTAATTCATCTTCAGAGTGTCTTGAAATTTTTAACAGAAATTCATAAATTGTATTGAATGTATCACCTTTCATAAAGGTGATATAAGTATCGATTTTAAATTTGACGAAGATGAATAAATCCTGAAATCTGCAGACGTGAAAATGGGCAGAAACAGTGAAATCTGTGAATGTGTTCTTGATATACACGCAGGGTGTACATAGGGCGAGTATGGATGGATAAGAGGGGAACCCGGTGGAATGTTAACGATAAAAGAATAGACCGGGGACGTAGCCGCAATGAAAGTAACATATGACCGTAACGTACGATAACACTGTCACGCACACTCGACAATTCCATACGTGTTCTTAATGCCTCTCGAACGTTTGTTCAACACGTCTGATAAGCCTGTTGAATTAACTTTTGTTTCCGCATCGTTTGATTTCTTGCGGAGCACTCGTAGTCAGTTTATTCTGGGGACGTATGAGCGTTCGAACGAAATCTTAGAGTCCTCGAAACTTTGTGAACTCTAAGGCCCCATTTATGAATAAAACGTGCAATCGAATTACTATATTGATAAGTTCGGCCGTGCGATACATTGGTTATTAATATGTGATACACAATTTCTGTGACGATCGAGTGATCGTGTAACGAGAGAACAAGACTTTTCGGCTACTCGCGTGACGTATTCTTGGCTTCAAACACTCTCCCCGTGTCGTGTCACTTCGTTCTTATCGATCGATCGAGTATCTCTCGGTAAGGGAATGTTAATCTTCCTCGTTACTTAACGATCGTCTGCCTAACGACAACGACCGTTTCAGCGGACACCTCGAACACGCAACGCGTAAAAAATTATCCTTCGCGTTCTACCATCTCCTTTCCCAGTTCTCACTTTCGTTAATCCGAAATCAAGTGCTCGAGATTCGAAGTGTCGAAGAAATAATAAGTAATCGAGTATCGTACAATTTTTTATCAGATCGAATCTCAGATTAAAATCTACCTGTGTCGTATCTCCGTACCGTGTCATCGTTGCATCTGTGTCAGCGAGAGTGACACGATACGGTGATTCGACACAGGTTGATATTCGATTAATCTTATGATTGGTCTTTAGATTAAAAGCCCGTTTACTTGTGTCGTACCTCCGTATCGTATCATCGTTACATGTGCATCAGCGAAAGTATGACGCAAGTTGATAGTTGAATTCCTTAATGAAATTGACCTTTTACCCGAGTAAATAGATTCATTTTTAAAAATGATTTCTCACACTGCCACAGGTTTTTAAAACCTGAAGAACCATAAAATAAAGTAGAGAAAGAAATGGGATATGAATTCTATTTGAAGCATCAAGAAAAACTTGTGCCTCCTATCTCATTTCTAGAATTATTCAAACCCTTGACTCCTACCAGGACTTCCAGTCCGCGCATATCAGACATCGGCATGCATATCGAATACATATTCCTTCATTCACAAGTATTAGGATTCTTCATTTATTCAAATCTGTGACCATTTATCATTAGACTGTAGATTTTATGCAATTATATAAAATCCAATTTTGTATGAATAATAATAGAAAGTCAAATCTAAAGGAGGCCATCTAAATGTCTATTCTGTTTTTGACTAAGGTATTTAAGAGGCTTCCTTTAGCTCAGACATCCTATATAGGACAATTCAGAATATCAAAATCTGAATGTTTAAATCAAACAAACGTTTACGTCAAATCTTCTCTAAATCAATAATTATTTTATATTACGTCCATAACAAATATTTTATTCTGCGTAAAGATCTGCAGTCTATTTATCATAATCGAAGACAATAAGGATATTAGAACGTTTGTATCACTAAATCTAGCATATATGAATTCCCTCGTCGTGTCATCGGAATCACACTTTCAAATGTTGGCGTTACTAGCATAATTTTCCTAATACTTGCGAATGTCGGTGTGTATAAAATGTGAGTGAATTAACAAAGGCTAAGAGACGGTGCAGTTGTCCAATTAATGAAGAAAAGCGGGCAGGGAAGAAGGAACGTGTGAAACAAATAAAGAGAGTGTAAAAAAAGTGTAGTGGTTGTGTGTACGTGTGTGTGTGTGTGTGTGTGTATATGTATACGCGTACCTCGCGGAAGAGGCACGGGAATATCCTACTTTTTAAATGTTTAAATGGTGAACTCTAAACAAGAAATGTTGTAAAGAGCGAGCGAGCGAGATGAAAGGCGGAAAAAGGAGCACGACGAGATGGGGGGAAACCAGTCTTAAGAGATGTTAACGATGTACAAATGTGTAATTTAGTGTTGCAAGGGAAATCCGTCTACGGCGCGGTATAACATGATAGAGGAAGATACTAAACAAACCATGTGGAAAGCAAAAAAAATTCATATTAACTTTTATTTTACGAGAAGATGAACGCGCATACAGGTGAACCTTTTTAGAGAACCTAGGCGTATCTATATTTCCATGATTACACATTTTTTGAACGTATACATGATAAATAGAGAAGCGAGTGAGTGTCGGACTGCGTGCTATACGAGCGTGGAAAGAGAGAGAGAGAGAGAGAGAGAGAGAGAGAGAGAGAGAGGAATTAGGGTGTGAATATCATCTATCACATTCTCGCACGTACCGTACATCATGTGCTATTGAACGACAGTTGTCGAAATAAAATTTTTTTCGATCAAATCATCAGCAGTAGTTTTTTATTCAACGCACCTGGACTCTTATTTAACTTTTAGACCGCCGGAAAGCCGAAATAGCTGCGTATGTCGTTGACAATGAGGCATCAGAACCTAACAAAATCAGTGCCATTATGTATTATTATTTCCGATCCACACTCGATTTTGGGTCCGTACATCACTGAGGCAAAATCAATACTTTAATTTTTACTACACATTATTATTTATTTTAATATAAACCCTGTATATACATTGAGATTTGAAACATTAATTCATGTACTACATACAACCTTCTGCGTGTGCACGAAACTGCCTTTCGAGACGACGACGCGACGTACATCGCCCCTTTAAAAGCACGTCGCTTTTGCCCTGTAGTAAAGAATCGTGAAATGCACACCGGTTTCATCCACCCCCGCATCGATTATCGCCCCCGCGGAATATTAAAACCCCTCTGTCAAACGTTTTGCTTAAACGATTCAATCCCTCGTCGCCTTCTGTGACGCCTACCAATGTTGCGATGCAATTTGTTTCATGCACGGTTTACCCTTATGCAATTCTTATTCTCTCTATCCAATGTGCTACGAGTTTTAGACACGCGAGTATTAGAGCGAGAGTGTTAGGAAGTGTCCTCTGGAATCTTGTGGTAACGAGTAGATTAGACTAGGATGCTGGGCTCAGTAATGGTGAACAACCAGGATCAACTCGAAAGGAGACGGTGGAATGTTGGGACGTTTAATTAAATATTGAAATTGCAACCAGGGGTGGATTTTAAATAAAAAAGGCGAGGTTGGGTTAGATTGGAATTAATTAGTGACTATTGACATAAGGGGGCTAGGGTAATCAAGTGGTCTTTCTAACATCTATCGCTAAATTGACGTCCCCTACGTAAACAGAAGTAGAGACCATTAATTAAATATTAAAATTGAAATATTCATCGGTCAAGATTCGTCTTAGACTGACGCACAATTATTATTCTACTTTATACTAGATTCCTAAAAGGAGTTTCAGAAATTCTTTACTATCTTCCTCCTTTTTTTCTCTCCATTTCCGGTGTCAGTGTTGCTAGATAAAAACGGGCGGAGTTCCCCGTAACTTTTCGAACTTCTCTTCCTTCCCGGAAGCTAAGTTAATATTACGTGTGATCTCGACCGCGGCATAACTGAACTGAAATTCCCGCCGAAGAAGCAATAAGCCGGGAGAGTCGTAACCGCCCCCGCGCCACGTTACGCCACGGTTCGAACAATATGGGACCAACTGTAATATCTTCGGGAAACAAACGAAGGTAACTTTTATTTCGGAATGGAAACGTTATATCACGTCTGTACAGTAGTTTCTTATCTGTCGAGAGAACCAAGGGATGAACTTGTTCTTTTCTCGTAGGCGGCTTATTACATATTTTCGAATAATTATGACAGCAATTAAGGATGTATTGGCTATACAGTAAATCCCAAAAGTTTATGTATTTTAGAAAAACGAATTTCCCATAATTAAAAAGAAATCAGACGTCGGAAGAACAATGCTAATAATAAATAGCTACGTGCTAAAAAGTATAGAAGGAAATATTCAATTAATTATTGACGCTGGCGAAAAGCTTTTTATACAGAAGTTGGAGGCATTGACGTCCTCTAGAAGAAAGATTCTATGCATTTTTCTTCTAACTT